CAAACTGAGTGACCATTTTGAAGGCTCAGGACACCTCTGCAGGTGTTTTGAGTTGACTAGCTGAGTGACATGTCACCATATTCTAATTTATTGAGATAGTGAATTGGTGGGTTTTTGTTAAATGTGGGCCAAAATCATCACAATTAAAAGACCCAACGGCTTAAACTACTTCAGTCTGTGTGTACTGAATTTATATAATACACAAGTTTCACTATTTGAGTTGAAGTACTGAAATAAATGGACTTTTCCATGATATTCTGATTTATTGAGATGCACCTGTACACAAGGCTTACATGCATTTCTCTCCATGGATTTGGTTCTGAGCATTAACGTTGTACACAGTTGGACAACATGTTAACCCTTTAGAGAAAAGGTCTTACTGCTCTGCAGACAGTCAGCCAGCTCCTCCTGCTTCATCCCCCTCAGGAAGTTCACCGTGATCTCCAGAAATGCATATCTGGTCCTCCTCCTCTGCTCTTCATCTACACCATCCAACACCACCTCATCCTCCCTCTGATGCTCTGAGCCTTCTGGGTAATCCGGACTCAGAAGCTTCTGCATCTTCTTCAGCTCCGCCTTGACAAAAGTAACAATGTTGTCCTCCAGCAGCTGGAACAGAAAACTCAATGAATGACAGGACCCCAGTGAAACCGTGGAGCCAAACATCAGATCCCTGTTGGACAGACTGACAATCCACTGGTCTACAAAGTGCAGCATGGGGACGACTGTGAACGGAGCAGGCGTGACAGTAGCAGTTGTCCATGTACAGACCTTAAATATGGATTCCAGCTGTGTGTGATGCTGCTGGGCAGACAGACCGCTGGGACCCTCTGAGCTCTGCTGGTCCACTCTGTGGAGGAACCATGAAGAATTAGTTCACACTGTGTCTGTGCACACAGAGACCAACACAAGGTGAAGGTCCAGTAAGTGATGTCTGGATGTGAACAGCGACTCAGACGACTCCCTGTAGTGGTAAAGCTTTACTGGTCCTACTGGTCCCACTGAGAACCAACAGTTGCAGCTGCTTGGAGCTCTCAGCTCAGGGTTTGTCTAGAACAACAGCTCTGACAAACATCTTTCCGTCCCTCACTGAACACTGCTGAAGTGTCCTGGAGCAAGGTACCTTGAAGCACTGTGAGCATCTGAAACACCCTCACTCAGTGACTGCTCAAATGTAGGGAGGCGACAAAGTCTGTTGGGTTTGAATTCAACTTTCGGCTCTTTTTTCATTGCTACGGCAAAAGAACTAGCTAAGCTAATTTAAGTTATTATAAGAAGAAAAAGAACAAGAAGAAGACCACGGTACGTTTTCCATTAAGTTCCTTTTTAAATAATTGCCCGTCATCTCTTACGGTACTATAAAAGAGCAACAAATGTACCTAGCTAAGGATAGTGTGCCACAGACTGTGTTTAACTCTTATTAGCTCACGTTAAACCTAGTAACTCGGGATAATAGCGTTAGCTAACTAGTGTTTCTGTATGGTAAGCAGCGTAGATAAAATGGATAAAAAGGTGCAGTGAAATAACTTTTATTTTCAATATATATATATAAAGTATATAACAAATTGACAGATGTGCACAAAGGAGAAAAACAGATCAGTCTTTTAATAAACTAACTTTTTGTCTGTTTTAAATGGTTCCCTTCCATCAGCAAGTGCTCTGAAAGCAAGAGGATATTCCATTGACTGGTCACTCTTCAAGGACACACCGCTGAGTCCAGGTCCAGGTCCAGGAGTCCCTGGTGCCTGCTGGTGCTTCAGCCTTGAACACAACACACACAGAGCTGTGAGTGTGAAAGCTGATGTTGCAGTGATATGTGGTGCTGAGCTCTGACATGGAGAAGAGTCCTGGACAGGTGGAGATCCTCATCTCACCTTTGAGCTGTGTTCTGGTTCTCATGGTCCATATGCAGACTGGTTTTAGAGGGAAGGCCTCCATCCTCTCTGTCCTCACAGTGACTCATGCTACTGGATCCAGATCAGTTCACAAACACTTCACCTGGAGAGGGGAAACACATCATTCACATGCTACTTTCCAGCATTTCTGTGGTGAAGACATCAGCTGCTGCTTCTGTTTCCTCTGTGTCAGCTGGATGCCGTCAGACAAGCAGAGTGAGGCAGAGGACGCTGCCATCAGCTGCTGCACTGCTACCGCCACTCCACTAGAGGGCGCCATGGAGCTGCAACCCAGCACACACACCACCATGCACCGACATCTCACTGATACACAACCGCTTAGATTCACACTGGTTTACACTGTCTCTCTGTCTGCAGCATCCTCGCAGAAAATGACTTGAGAAAGAAACTGTAGCTCGTAATTCCACATACTCGGTAGTCCGGCCGAGCTCAGCCCGTATTTATTGGCTCAGACAGCGGTAGAGCGACGGCTCATGTCCGCCTTCTTTTCAAGCTGATTCATGCATCTGCTTTTAGTGCTCAGTCCGTGGAGCTACGCAGTAATAACAAGTCTATGCGCAGCTACTGACCAACTACTGAAAGTACTGCTACTGTTATTCCGGTGTTTAAGCTGCCACGCACCAACACAGCATGGCGGGTTGTGCTCATCCTCTTGTACCGAGTTTACTGTTACACCTGAGTAGGTAGCACATTGACCGTCAACCAGCGCAACATCTTTGCAGTTTCTACTGTAACTTGTTAACAACAGTCAATGTTAATGAGTGCAACATTAAGAACTGATTGCATTACCTCCAAGTGGAGGTTAGATTGCACAAAAATAACTGCGCAACAATGGCACTGGATGTGAAACTAAATTTGACAAGACAAAGGTACAGAAACTTACTGTTTTCACTAAAGGATAAAGAAACCGGAGGCTCTTGTCTCGCGATTTACTGTCTCATAAATAGGAAACGATTACGAGGTAATACTGAAAAAAGAACATCTTGTAGTGAGATAATGTGGTGATTGTAAAGCTTCAGAACTTGCCTGAAAATCCTCCAGAGTTTAATGAATCTTTAGTCGCATAGTAATTCAGTGCCACCTGTCAGTCAGTTCGGTGTACATAGCAGCCCTAAAGGCGGATATCGGCTAGAAAAAGGCGTCCAAGATGCAGCTCATAGTGACACTCGCTACCAGTGTCGGCATCTTGTTCCCCGCTTCCTGTATCTGTTCAAACATAGTGTGGCGTTTTCCACGATGGACCTATTATAAAAACACCCCGATGTTTCGGCTCATATTTATTTCACAGACAACATGTAAGAGCTAGAAGATCACGCAGCATGAGCCTATCTCATAATTAGGCAAACGAGAATAGACCTGGTAGCCCAAGTCATACATACCAGATAAGATCCTCCAGTTTTTATTCCTTGATGAATGCAGCAGTGCGTGTGTTTAAACGCAGCCTACACATTTCTTTCATGTCATATTTGTTCTCTCTCTGCGGGAACAGCCCTTGAATACTAAAAGGCAGTTGTTGATTTATCATTCTATAGATGATAGAAGATGGGGAGCCCGCTGGGCTCATGTGTACTTTCTTGAGAATTCGTGAGCACAGGTGCTTTCATTTATTTACACCGGTTTCTGTGGAAAAAGTTAGTCAGCCTGTAATTTAGACTTTCTGTGCGTCCTCCTCAGGCTGCTGAGACTGAAGAGGGACAGGTGAAACAACCGAAGCCGTAGTTTGGCTGCTGTCAACACGATCACACAGTTGCTATGACAGTAAGCGCGTTAACCCGTTAGTGCTGTGGCAGCTGAGAAGTCTTGGTAGGAGCAGAACCTGTCTGAGAATCCCGCTTCCTTCAGTGTCACGGGGATCTGGTGCCAGTTGTGCGTATGTCTGTGAGGACGCTGCTTATTCGGGCCAGTTAGTGGAGAAATCTGGCTGGATAAAGACGGACCTCAACTTGTAGCCCACTGGATAAATGACCAAATAAACTGTCACATTTTCAAACCTTTAAACGTCTAAATAATATTATTATGGCCTTCTGATGTTTAGTGTCACAGGTTGGACTAACGGCCCTCTCCTAAATGAAAATGTGTGCTGCTGTTGCTTCATCTCTGGCCAACATTCAGTTTCATTTTCAGATCCTCGTGGCTCAGCCCTGTCTCCATGTCAAGGTTATGCCAGCTCCTTTTCCACAGTTTACTTCTATAAATTATTCTTTGCTCACATTGTGTTGTCAGTCTGGTCCTTTAAATCAGCCCAGTGGTCACAGTATCCACCATGGTGAAAATATACAAAGTAAACTAAGTTTGTAACAGATGAGAGGTCAGGGTTCTTTAGCCTGCGGTGGAGTACTCTACTTTTACTGCAGTAAAAGTAGTCATACCAAGTAAGCATCATGCATTCAAAGTGTTAAGTACAAATAGAAAAGTATCACAATACTACTGGATCATAGTGACTGATACATTACTGTGTTCATCACTTTAATGCTGCAGCTGGTAAAGGTGGAGCTGATGGTAACTACCTTATATACTTATACTGTGAAGTACTTTACATCCTGCTGGGTGGCTGGTGAATTTCCCACAGGGGATCAATAAAGTTTGATGGCTATGGCTTCAGGTCTGCAGAGTTTTATGGAATAAAAGAAAATGTGGTGCTGTATTTAAATTCTAATCTGACACTCTATTGATGGCTAAGTAGACACAGAGAGGAAGGTACAAATTGAAATAGGGGCTGACAAGGTTTATAGATTCAGGAAGTCACAGCACTGCATCACACAATGTGGGCACTCCCTCAACATGACCGAGCTGGATCACATGTGATCAGTAGAAAAATCATTGTGATTTGTTTTTCTAAAATAAAGTTTTAATATTTAGGGTTCCTAAAGCATTGTTTCAGACTAATTAGCAGACAAGTTGCAACCCTCTGATGGATAATTTGATACATCAAAGCTTCACTTTTTATTAACTCTTATTATTGAATGATTTAGCCTTACTAGAAGTGCTGTTCTGTGGATGTTAAAGTCCACCTAACACTTCACACTAAAATATTTTAACAACTGTTGGACAGACTGTGATCAACTTTAGCTGAGGCATTCATGTTGCAGGACGGAATGTAACAACTGTAGAAATATTCTCACTTTTCTCCTGATTTATATATATATATTTTACAGTGTACCCCCCAGTTTAACATTTTTTACAGAGTACCCGTTGTTTTTGTTATTTTTTTACGGTGCCTCTTGTTGTTTTCTACACTGAAGTTTGAACAGTATCACAGTAAATAGGTTGTAGTTATGGACAGTGGACACTGGGGGCAGCAAACACACTTGAGTTGAGAGAGGACTGTTGTTTAAAAGTTTGGGGGGGGGCAGTCATGGGACCCTGTTTGCTGCTGAAACATGTGGATCATATGAGACAGAAAAAAAGAGGAGGAAGAGGATCATAGAGATTTTATAGAGAGGAGAAGGAAGGATGGAGGATTTGTCCCGGTGGGTGAGGGAGGCTAGGTGCTGGATGAGGAGGTGCTGTTGTGGTGAGGAAGAGGAGGATGAGGAGAAGAAAGGGAAGAGAGAAGAAGGAGATGAGGAGGTGGAGATGGAGGATCTCAGCTGCAGAAAAAGCAGGAGCTCAACTTGGCCCCCACCTGCTGAGGTATGTGACCAAGCTGAAATATGAGCGTTAGCACAGCGTTACTGTAACGTTTACTGGAAGAACATTTTGGAATGTTCGAGCCTTTTAAACTATGTGGTTTTAGTTTCTGACAGTGAACCTTCTGGCTATAGTTTTTCTGTGTGTTTTCTGACTGTGTTTTGTCTAATGAACCCCAGACTGTCAATTTTTTAGAGTGTATCCCTGTGTGTGACCAGCGAGAGGGGCATAATCATCAGGGATGATCAGAGTGGTTATTAAATAACATCTATTTTATGATAAAACTGGCAGATGGCAGATTTGTTTATTGCAAATCAGATACTGAGGAGATTGTGATTCCACAGCTGGAATGAAATGTTGACTGTAATAAGACTGTTTTGGTATTGCACACGCTTGTCAGTGATCTGCAGCATTTTATCTTCTTAAGGTCATGATTTAAAGCGTTTTAAAGGTTTCAGGCCGTCACTTCCTGTCCTGGTCCTGTCTCCCAGCAGGATCCAGATGGGTCTGCCTTGCCTCTCTCCGGGTCTCAGCCTTATTGGTTCCATACACTGCAGGTCCGGCGGCTGCCGGTTCAGAGAGGACGCAGCAACAGCGATCCACTGAGAGGCCCGAGCAACAAGGACCAGTTCCCCTGGGTCAGCTGGCATGCTGAGACGTGACACATGATTTATGACATGTAACGTACAGCGTGACACACATGTGACATGCGTGTGCTTTGTTCAGGAACCAGGGCTGCAGTTCGGAGCCGCTCAGTCGTACGTGAGCCTGGAGAAACTGGGAGAAGGCGCGTACTCATCCGTGTACAAAAGCATCAGCAGGTCAGTATGAACCGCAGTGTGCTGTGAGTTCATCATGAACAACAACATGACTCTGACACATTTCCTCCCTCAGAACACATCTACACATCTGGTTTAAGTACTTCTATGTTCACACAAGTTTACCAGCAAACACTGCATCTGTCTTTGTTGCAGTGGCAAGAAAAGTACACTTTACTGCAGTAAAAGTACTAATAAGAAAAGTCCTGCATTCAAGGTTTCACTGAAATATAATCAAAGTACCAAATAAAATAAAATTATGCAGAATGGACTGTTTCAGAATAACAGCAAAATATATGCTTGGATCATAAATCTACAGGAAGTTTTATTCTATTTTATTTCAAAGATGTGAATCTGTACCTTATATAAATAAAATCAGTGTCTCAGTTTCTTATGCATATCTGCAAAATCAGTCACCTGTGATTCCACTCTTATCCATCAGGTGTGCGACTGTAAGCTAAAAAAAGAATCAGTTTCTAAAGGGGTTTTGGTCCAGATATTCAGCAGCTAGTTCTCTGCGGTCAACCATGATTCTCTAGTGAATTAAAGAGGTTTACTTCACTTATCTATTTATTTCATGTATTATTTTCCTGATATTGTTGTTTTCTTGTTCTGTGGAGGATAAACGGGCAGCTGGTGGCTCTGAAGGTGATCCATATGAAGACAGAGGAGGGCGTCCCATTCACGGCCATCAGAGAAGGTGGTCCATCAGGTTGTTACTTCATCTGATCAAACACACAAACAGTACATGCATTAATACACCTGTGGGCATGTGTTTGTTGTTTACAGCATCTCTGCTCAAACGTCTGAAACACGCCAACATCGTCCTCCTCCATGATATCATCCACACCAGAGAGTCGCTCACCTTTGTCTTAGAATATGTGGTGAGAAGCATGTTCAGCTGAGGGGGGCGCTGTATCACAGTGTGACCTGAGAGGGGGTGGCTGTATTACAGACCACTGGCTTCCATCTAAACTTTAAACTCATTAAATGAATATTTTAAAGAAACAAAAGCAGCAGATTTCCCAGCATGCATTGTGTCTGAGTTAAACATTTTAAAACTATTCTTTATTGTATTTTAAAGAACCCATTTATGGTGGGAACTTGGTTCGTAATAAAAATAAAAGAAATAACAATACTTCACATTCAGTTTGTTCCTTGCTCTCTTCTTCTTCTTCTGTGGTTGCTGCAGCAGACAGACCTGGCCCAGTACATGACCCAGCACCCCGGAGGTCTGCACTCACACAACGTGCGGGTATGTCAGGACTCACCTGAGCACTGAACATCATCAGGTCTTATGTTTAAGTCCAAAGAAGTAACTTCAGCTGTCAGTAAATACAGACCAGTACACGTTTATAGAAGTGGCAGAATATGGAAATAATTTAAAGTACAAACTATTGACAACACTACATTATGTCAGAGCAGAAACACGAGAGCGAATGTGAGCTCAGGTGAGCTCCGTCTGCTGTCTTGTAGATCTTCATGTTCCAGCTGCTGCGAGGCCTCGGCTACATCCACAGCCGGAGAATCCTCCACCGAGACCTGAAGCCTCAGAACCTGCTCATCAGCCACCTGGGAGAACTCAAACTGGCCGACTTTGGTGAGCGACGGAATGCACCACGTAGAGTGGAACCAGCACAGACTGTGACAGTAACCACTTGTCAAATCAAATCAAATTTTATTTGTAAAGCGCCAAATCACAACAAAAGTCATCTCAGGACACTTTACAAAGTAAGGTCTAGACCTTACTGTTATCAATATTATTACATAGGGAAAACCCAACAAATCCCCCTTGAGCAAGCACTTGGCGACAGTGGGGAGGAAAAACTCCCTTTAACGGAAGAAACCTCCGACAGACCCCGGCTCTTGGTGGGCGGCCTTCTGCCTCGACCAGTTGGGGTGAGTGGATAGAGGAGAGACAAAAGAAGAAAAGCAACAAGACACAACAATCAAACACTGATCAGGCTGATGTGGTTGGTGACTGCTCATCAGAGACGTAGAGCTCCAAGGCCAGGGCAACCTGCAGAAAGGTACAGGGAGAGAGAGAGGACACACTACGGGAGAGAGGAGACACAAAGTTAGTGATGTGTAATGGTGGCATATAGAAGCATAGGGAGAGAGAGGAGAGGGGAGGAGAGGGGAGGGGAGGAGAGGAGAGGAGAGCAGGAGGGGAGGGGAAAGAAACTCAGAGCATCATGGGGCCCCCAGCAGCCTAGGCCTATAGCAGCATAACTAAGGGAGGGCTCAGGGTCACCTGATCCAGCCCTAACTATAAGCTTTATCAAAAAGGAACGTCTTAAGTCTAATCTTAAAGGTAGAGAGGGTGTCCGCCTCCCGAACTGAGACTGGGAGTTGGTTCCATAGGAGAGGAGCTTGATAGCTAAAGGCTCTGCCTCCCATTCTGCTTCTGTGGACTCTAGGAACCACAAGTAAACCTGCACTCTGAGAGCGAAGTGCTCTGTTAGGATGATAAGGCTCTACGAGGTCTTTAAGATACGATGGAGCCTTGTCATTAAGGGCTTTGTATGTTAGGAGAAGGATTTTAAATTCTATTCTGAATTTTACAGGGAGCCAGTGGAGAGAAGCTAATATGGGAGAGATATGATCTCTCTTGCTAGTTCCTGTCAGTACTCTGGCTGCAGCATTTTGGATTAACTGGAGGCTTTTTAGGGAATTATTGGGACATCCTGATAGTAAAGAGTTACAGTAGTCCAGCCTGGAAGTAACAAATGCATGGACCAGTTTTTCAGCATCACTTTGAGACAGGATGCTCCTGATTTTTGCAATATTGCGCAGGTGAAAGAAGGCAGATCTAGAGACTTGGTTTATGTGTGATTTAAAGGACATATTCTGATCAAAGATGACTCCAAGGTTCCTCACAGTAGTACTGGAGGCAAGAGCTATGTCATCTAAAGTAACTATATGATTAGACAGCAGATTTCTAAGGTTTTCAGGCCCAAGCACAATAACTTCAGTTTTGTCAGAGTTTAGAAGTAAGAAGTTGCAGGTCATCCAGGCCTTTATGTCTTTAAGACATGCTTGAAGTTTGACCAGCTGACCTGATTCATTTGGCTTCATAGATAAATATAACTGAGTATCATCTGCATAGCAATGGAAATTTATGTTGTGCTTCCTGATAATATTGCCTAAGGGAGCATGTATAAAGTGAAGAGAATTGGACCTAACACAGAGCCCTGTGGAACGCTGTGACTAACGTCAGTTTGTGTGGAACATTTGTCATTGACATGAACAAATTGAAATCTTTCTGATAAATAAGATTTGAACCAACTTCGTGCAGTTCCTTTAATCCCAATAACATGTTCAAGTCTCTGCAGTAAGATGCTGTGATCAGTGGTGTCAAAAGCAGCACTGAGATCTAAGAGGACAAGTATGGAGACAAGTCCTTTGTCCGAGGCTAGGAGCAGATCATTGGTGACTTTCACCAATGCGGTTTTTGTACTATGATGGACTCTAAATCCTGACTGAAAATCCTCAAACAAATCATTCTTGTGCAAGTGGTCACATAACTGCTTTGCAACAGCTTTTTCAAGGATTTTGGAAATAAATGGGAGATTGGATATTGGTCTATAATTAGCTAGGACACCTGGGTCAAGAGTAAGCACTTGTGTAAGGTCTTACTGGCTGTTAGTAGTTTGGGTTTAAGATGGGATTCCGAGTTTAAGAAAGTGTTAATCACTGTAAGTCACCTTTTCTTCCACCTGTAACTGTCAGCATTCAGACTTGTGCAAGTTTTCCCTGCTCAGTCTGTTTAAAACCCTGCAGACCTGAGCTCCTGTTCACAGAAACATCACAGTCTGTAAATGCCCTGTACTGCTCCTTCTGTCCTGCTGGTCCTGGTTGCGAGTTCAGGTCTGGCGCGGTCCAAGTCCATCCCCAGTCAGACCTTCTCCTCAGAGGTGATGACTCTGTGGTACCGGCCCCCTGACATCCTGCTGGGGTCCACAGATTACTCCACCGCCGTGGACATGTGGTGAGTGCTGCAGACACACTGCTGCTCAGTGAAGATGATCATCACTGTCACCATTCTGCAGCTGCAGCTGTGTCTGAGTCTGAATAAAGTTTCTGTGTTTGAATCAGGGGAGCTGGGTGTATCTTCATCGAGATGCTGCAGGGGGCGCCAGCATTCCCTGGAGTCTCTGATGTGTTTGAACAGCTCCAGAAGATCTGGGCGGTGAGGAACTAATGATCCACAATACTACTCCTATTACTACTACTAGTACTACTTTGTGTGTTTTTGCAGGTCCTGGGTGTGCCAACTGAGGATGGCTGGCCTGGAGTCAGTCTGCTACCCAATTATAAACCAGGTGAGTTAACCCACCCACCACTTGTCCCAGAAATTATTTTTAATGGTCATTTTAAAGATTTTTTTTTTTCATTTTATTTGTTTAGAGCATCCTGCAGAATCTAATTATTTATTTATGTATTTCTAGTTTTTAATTCACATGTTTCTTTTATTCAGCTTTGAGTAAAGGTCACTGAAACTAAGAGACAGTCACAGACAAATATCCACTATTATCATACAGATATGAGCTGTCCTCTCTCAGCATGGAGGAATCAGGCCTGAGAGTGTGTAGACATAATGATCTGTAACAGTGAGAACAAAGAGGAGAAAAGAAATAACTGGACAACTGTCAAACCACAGAGTGAGATCAGCAGCTGAACTCCACATTAATCATCAGCAGTGAAGACATGTTTTACTGTAAACTCCTCACAGCTGCAGTTTACCTTCTCTCACCTCCACCCACAGATGGGTGATACAGCAGCTCAGGGATTAAACATTGTGACTTCATAAAGAAACACTTTCTCTCCTTCACAGTCAAGTGTGAACACACAGACATGAAACACATGTTGATCTGATTTAGTGTGACGTCCACTTTCTGAGGATCTCGGCGCCGTTGGGAGGGGGGAGTTAGGACGATTCTAAGGGCCCACGAACTTTGGGGGCCCACAGAGACTAGCTTAGAGGTACCAACTTCAAATTTTTTCATAGGGCCCAAAACTGCTAGCGGCACCCCTGCTCATTGTCACTCATGTCCCTCCAGAACAAACCTCCATAAACCCGCTTAGAAATCACAAGAGAAAAGAGGCTGCAGAACCTGCCTGAGAATCCTCTTGTTTTTAGGCTTTCCTTCAGTGTCACAGTGATCCAATGACAGTTGTTTGCACATGCATGGGGACACTGCACAGGGCAGCTGCTCATTGATCATTCTGCTGCTGTTAATGGGGACACTGTGACTACATGGAAATAAAATGTAGGCTCAAGTTGTAGCTCACAGCTCAACTGCTGACTCACTATACTTCTGTGTACATCCCCCAAGGTATTATGGGGAAATGAAGTGCAAAAACCTATCATTCTCTCAGTGTATTCTCAAGTAACTTTAGCGTGTCACTAACCTTTGCTAATTGTGTTTTCTTTCTGTAGAGTGGTTTGTTCAATCTAAGCCAAAACAGTTTAAAACCATTTGGAAAAGGTAGGCTAACTGTCACTTAGCACAGTGTGTGCTAAAATGTTAGCATGGAGCCTGCTATAATTTAATACAAAGTATCATGGCATGCGTGTTAATATGCCAAATCCATGGTAATACTGTGAGAGTGCTGCTATACACGTTAACCATCTAATTCACCATATGCATGCTAACAGGGTTGGACAAAACGCTAACATGCCACATATGGTGGTACACATGCTAACAGCATGACATGCCATGCCTGTGTTGATGTGGATCAGGTTGAACCAGCTGCCCTACAAGACCGAGGACCTGGTCCAAAGAATGCTGAAGGGGGTCCCCACACACCGGATCTCAGCTCAGGATGCTCTGCAGCACCCATACTTCAGCACGCTGCCTCCTTCCATCATGCACCTCAGAGACAGTAAGTACAACCTAAACTACAACCTAAAAAATCTAGCACAGAGCTAAATGTTAACATGCTAAAGCATGTTAACACAGCCATATTTAATATGCTAACAATCTAACATACCCATGCACATATTCACATAGCCATACATGCTAATAAGGTAATATACTGCATACTTACTAACAAAACCACACACATGCTAAATTGCTAACCACACAAAACCCACAATTTGTTCTTTTATGTGTTCCAGCAGTGTCAATCTTCAAGGTTCCTGGTATCTATCTGGAGACAGAAGTCAGAGACATGTTCCACCCCGGTAGGAAGCTCCAACTCTCCCTGCTGCATGCTGCAAAAAACTGGTAGTTAAACCGCCATCAGTCTGAGGAGACAAGCAGAGGGGTGAGCAGTCCTCATCTGTTTAGTATAGATTTGTGTATCATACTTCTTCCTTATTTTAATTGTTAGAATGAAGCTAATCAGCTAATCTCATGGCTGTGTCACAATAAAACCAGGTATGATGTTTAACAAAAAATTCATGATTACGTTGAACCTTGAAGGAAGTTATTAATAAGGAAGTAAGTAAACAGACTGTTTAGCCATTTTTAAACTGAAGCTGTTTATTCTTTATATATCATTGAAAGGAATGGAAGCAGAAATTTTAGTTAGATTTCATGAACTCTGGTCTGACTCATTTTATTCTGCTTGATGTTTTATTTTCCTGTCTTTAGTGTCTTACCTTCATTAGTTGTTATTTAATTCACTTGGATCTGCAGCTGGTGTTGTTTTTGTTCAGCAAAGAAACCACTTTCCTTTAAAGTTTACGCTTAATTAATCAGTTTTTGAGGAATTTGACATCTGTCTGTTGGGCCTTGTTTATTTCTTTGTCTTTTTTTTTCATTGCAGAGTTCACTTAGTTCATCAAAAACCTAAAATAAACATGTTTGTCTGTGCTTCTATAAAAAATTTAAAAAAAAACTTTGAGAACAAAACAAAAACTGGTACCGTCAAGTTGTTGTGTGTTCATGTATAAATATACAATTAGTAACTGAAGAAATATAGAGTTTTGTTTGACTGACAGAAAGTGAAATAATGTGAACGTTTGATTTGTGAGATAAAAGAGAAGGAGTCGCTGTTTGTGCATATTTAACTCTGTGTTTTTACGTCGGATATTTGTTTGATGAGAGAAAATTGATTCACGACACTCGAAGACAGCTCATCATTAATAAATTAAAATGCACAGGCGCCTTTGATAACCAGCCTCTGAAGAATCACTAGTTTATTTAACCTGAAAACTAGTTTTCTTTGTTTGTTTTTTTTTTTTTGACAAACTTTTGTTTTCAGAGGAATTTCTCAGCTAACCCCACACCAGTGTGTATTCTAACGTGAATTAGAAAAATAAAAGAAACTGTGATATTAGATTATTCTGCTAAAATGCTATAAAAATATATTTGTTTAAAATTTTTGTGTTGACCAACATCAGTCCATGAAAGGATATTATGCTATAAAAATCAATTCCTGTTCCCAGAAAGTACAAGATGGAGGTAAAAACAAAACAAAGACAGCTAATCACAGAGCTAGCTGAGATAGCCACAGCTAGCTGCTACTAAAGCTAAAACTACATTACTTACTGGCTTTGCCCTTGAATATTACAATTTGAAAACTATCCTTATTATACAACAGCATCTTTAATTTGTTGTTCCACCCAACTAAACAGCCAAGTCCAACCATGAGCTGCTGAGGCTAACCAGCTTGGCTGAGTAGCACTAGCTGTTACCTTAGCATCTGACTCTGGTAAAATTCAAGAAATGTGAAAATGTGCTTCAGTGGCATTTAAATCTCAGATTGGATTAAACTAAATGAATGTATTTTATTATTTCAATATAAATATTATAGACTTTATATTTACATGAGATTTTATATTAACGAAGCCAATCAAAGATGAGCTGTAAGAAATCAGCACACTGAAGACAATACAAAGTATCCAGATCCTTTACTTCACACTGGAAAAATACTCAATTAATTGTCTTGCATCAAAAATATTACTAACGTAGAAGTATGTAGTCCAGTAAAAAGTGAGTAGTAAGTAGAAGTACAGTGTTGGAGTACTTGGTTGTGTGTTGTTAAAAACTGTTCAGGTTAACCGTTTTTGAACACGCTGCTGTCGGACACTTTAACAAACTTCTTCCTGTTTCATCGTGTCCTTCATTTGTGGCGTGGTTCTATGTCCATCACGAGGACGTCATCAGACTCAATCAGTGACTGGCGGCTGATCCACAACACCATTAGCTGTGTGTCGTCATGGCAATGCTCAGCTGAGGCATTAGGACAGTCAGCTTGTGTTTCTCTGAGTTGACATGCAGATCACATACTGCTGCTTGTTAGAGAGGTGGAGGCCCCATCCCGCAGCCACACTGTCACTGACGGAGACAGTAAAGGTTCATTACTAAGGTTTTCATCCTCCATGTTGCAGCAGCCTCCTCTTTTGTTTATCTAGAGGTCAGGACTGGATTTAATGCTCTAGGTGCTGATAGCAGATGGGGTCAGAACCAGACGCTGGCACCTTCCAGTCAGACAACCCCCCACCCCCCTTGCACCAAGGCTGCGTCCACACCAGAGCTGAAGCTTCCCAGATCTGATGTGTCCACAGCAGTGTGAACAGACCACACCAGATGTCCTCAGACCAGATCTGAGCCACCTGCATATGTGGTCCTAGACGCGATTCCTAGCCAATCTCTGACTGTGCAGCGCTGTCAGAACAGTCAGATCAGAATCCATGTGGCTGTAATATCTGCACATATGGCCTGTCATCATCATTCGGCATCGGCCCCTCACAGACTGGTGACAATAAACATGGAGGCGAGCGAACACAGCACCGGGGTCAGTGGACAGACCAGGACATTTCACGTTTGTTGAACATTTACGGAGAAGCTTCTGATCAGGCCAAACTGGAAGGAACGTATCGTAACCCAGCAGTCTGGGAGGAAACTGGGCCATTTGACTGTCGCACACACAGCCTGGTTGTTATTGTTGTGCGCATGTGGCTCACATTTCAGTTACATCTGTGCATGTGTGGCAGTTTACGAGCTCAGCGGTGTTCACACTGGAGCCGGGTACATGGCACAGACGGGAAGCAGCAACGCACAAAGGTCAGAGCTGAGAGTTAAGGCCCGAGACACTAATCAGTTTTTCTTGTGTCAAACTTTGTTGCTTCCACATTTTAAAGTCTGAGACTTTACTCGTTAATAAAAATAATCAGTTTTGTGTGAAGTGTTTGTCCTGCTCACCCGTCCTCTGCGCGAGCACCATTGTGACCTCTGACCCCTGGGGGTTGGCCAGGTTAGACTGAGCTGACAATGGAAATGAAAAGAAGGAGGAAAGCTGTTAAATTAGCAGTGACTGTGACTCATTAATATTTAGCTTTAAACAGAATCAGGATCAACATTATTCTTGTTATTTAACATTATATATTTTAAGACTTAAATCACCATATATTAAGATATTAGGGCATAATTTCTCTTAAAATAATTACTTCTTATGTCAGAGTATCAGAACTAAACATACTTTTCTTCTCAAAATCTTACAACTTTGTCTCAACAGTTTATTTGTATGTCTTATAAATTGATATTTTGAGAAGAAAAGTTGTAACATTTTGAGGAAAAGCATCACATACTAGAGAAATCAACCTTTTATTTTTTGTTACTGTTGTGACTTTTTCTGATAATTTTCAAACTTTTTTCTCAAAATAACATTTCATAAGAAAATGTCATCTTTTCTCAAAACATCACATTTTATTAAGGTGTTCCGTTTTGTAAATATTGCGACATTTCTCCGAATATTTCAACTTTATTCTGAAAATGTGTCTGTTGTAGTAGTTTTGCTAAATCACAGTAGTTTCAGAATAAAAGTACTTATGTTCAGTACTACAAGATAGTTGCATTAGACTCCGTGTGTCCCTAATAAATTGATCCTAAGACCTTTTCTGTAGAAACATGTCACAGCTAAATAATAGACTCTGAGGAGCCTGAATCAGGACCGGCCCTGCGGACAGTCTGATCTAGATTTCTCAGGTTTCTCCCAGCTTAGACCCCCCTTCTTCTTCTTCTTCCTTTATCTCCGCTCTTCTTCTCTGCTCTGACCTGTGGGCGGAGCTCCTTTGTCCCTGCCGTCCCAGAGTGCATCTGGGTCCCACCCCCCACTCCCCCCAGGAGACTTGTCATGTTAATGTGTCTGAATGGGATGGTAATAGGATGTTAATATAATGTGCTCTTTAACACAGCTCCCACTGTGCCATGTCAGGACATCCCCCCCCCCCTCCCCAGTCCAGCCTGGACCCCCTTCACATGGCGGCTTTTCATCTGCAAAGGGTGCTGGGGGCAGTTCCTCCTTTAGAGGCCTGATTTGAAGAAGGCTGCAGCTGAAATCTCAGATGTGAATAAAGGGTGTGAACCAGTGAAGTGTGGTGAACATTCTCAGTTTGGTGCAGAAACTTAAACCACTGCAGACGTTCACTGGAAAATCAGTCGACACAAAAAAAACCAAATGACAAATATCACAGTGCAGGAACTTCACTAAACAGTCTGTTAGAATCCATCTTTCTGTGTTAAACACTGCTAGAAACAACATATTGTAACTTTTTGAGTTCAAATGAGAATAAAGTCAAGTTTTCAAGGTTGCTGTATAATATTACAACATTCCTCCAAAAATTCCTGAAATGTACAGCTTTTGTTTTTGAATTTTAAAACTTTATTATTTAAAACTGTAAAGAAAAGGATTGCTGACTCAAATTAACCAAACTGTTCCATTTGATGATTAGTTGAATGTAAATATAATAAATAATGTTGCGGTTGATTTGGGACGACGGGAGAACGAGGAGTTGTAGGTGTGCTCCTATTCACTTTTTCCATCGTTTGCTTTCTCCGGTATTTTCTTTTTGTTTCTTTCCTTCCTCTCTTTCTCCTGATCTCCCCAGTCCTCTACTTTTCCTACACACACACAGGAGAGAACAGAAAACACTAGGAGAAGAGTTGATGGAGGCAGCACCAGTCAAGTTCCTAACAAGGCGCGTTGGCGTTGGTGTGTTTGGTTTAACGCTGCTGTGTGTTTATACTGGCCTCACTTCTCTCAGGAGCGATGGAAACTCCTCTGTTAAATAAATCACGTGTCAGAGTGAGACTCAGACACGTTGAACAAAATGTCTCGGAGCTGAAACATTTTCACATCTACTTTTTACTGGTTTAGTTGTTGTTTACATTTATAATTTAAATTATATTTCAACTTATCTCCATATTTTTACTTTTTTGCATTTTTATTTATATTTTCTTATATCTCTAAGTTTTATATTTATATTTTATCCTTTTTTAAAAAACCATTTTCCATCAATCTTTTCATGTCTGGGTCCAAAGAGGAAAAGTATTATAAGATTTACCGTAGATTGTTCTGTTTGTTGCATCATGTTTTTTAAAATCCCTCCACATCTGAATTAAACCATCAGAGGGTTTTACTTTTCCTCTTACATCTGAAAATGGGGGGGGAACTGAACCTGCATATTAGGAACAGAGCTGCTGGTGCTGCAGTTGTTTCTGTTATTCTGTCCACCCCATGGTCAGTCCCCCCAACCCCCATGAATCTGAACAAGACTAAAGTATTGAAGGGTGGAGGGTGTGGTGGCGTCCGTTCCAGTCTGAGCCACTCAGCGGACCAGTCCTCTGGCCTCCTGACCCTACTCCGAGTTTGCATGTGGATCTGGTCCTAGATCAGATCAGCTGATGGGGGGAAGAGATCTTAGTTTCTTTCCTCTGAGTGGGGAGCAGATTGTTCTATACAGCTGTCCCAGTCCAGTCTGGTTTCAAGGTGGACTCAGGTCCACAGACCTTTATGGTGGTATGGGTCTCTTTGTGCCCATTTTGTGTCTTTTAACGGAGTCTGTGACTTTGAGACGAAAGAGTGACAGCCCCCTCATACAGAGGCTTAGGGCCAGGGGCCCCTGACCTCTCAGGCCCTGGTCCTGGTGGTTCTGTTGACTAATCCATCCATGTGCAGACTTATAGTAGAAACCTGAGGAATAACTTTAGATGGTTGTGACTAAGCCTTAGAGGACAGTCAGCGATGACTCCTGTGTGGGGGGAGTATTAACTGTCAGGAGACAGACCTCTGCACCAGTCTGATACTGGACAGACCAGATCAGAGGCCGTGCCTGTTTCTCGTGGGACTGTTCAGCGTGTTGGAGGTAACACTGCTATGGAAGCTACATCTGTTCCAGCACACCTGGGGGGGACTCAGGTTTTGTTTACTAAGGGGAGGAGACTTGCTGGGCACCCTCCCCCACTGCTCTCAGCTCTATTTTAAAAGAAAATGACACCTCCTTTTCTCTAGTGTCATAGTTTAGCCCATCATTCCTGTCGGTGCGACTGCAGAGGAGGACGAATCCTGAAGAGAGAGGTTAAACAGATCAATGATAATAATAAGAAATTAAAGTGAATTTGACCAAACAGTGTTAAGTCTTTCTGTCTCTGTTCTGATGGTTGAAACATACTCCAGCCTGGGCTCTTGCTCCTGCATCGGAGGGGCATGGGCCTTTGCCCCGGCTGTACTCAGCTGGGTTTGTAGCTGGTTTGAGGCTGCAGCTGGTTCAGGACTGAGCAGCTGAAACACGTTGAATCTCCAAAGTCCATTCCATTTCACTGCATTTTTCTGAGAGCTGTAGTTAGTCTGCAGACCCAGGAAAACGTATTTATTACAGGTGAGGATCAGTTTTTGACTCCTGGAGGGAAACTCCAGGAGACTATAGTTAACATCGGCTCCACCTTTACCAGCTGCAACACCGGAGCAACTTAATGCTTCAGAAACTGTTATCCAGTAATATACCCTTACTTGAACTGTGCCATTCTGCACAATGACTACTCATACTTTTACTACTTCAAGTATATTTTGCTGCTGAAACTTGTGTGCTCTTACTGAAGTCATGCTACTTGCAGCAGAGTACTTGTACACTGTGGTACTGTTCCTCCTTCCAGCGTAGAGGAGAGGATCCAGCTGCAGATCAGGGCAGAGAACAGGAGGTGTCAGGCTGTGGGGGAGTGATGACGCCCAGGTCAGAGTGGCGGTGATATTTCAGTAAGCAGGGCTGCAGTCAATGCAGAGGTATGTGGAGCCTGTCCGTGATCCAGCAGCACGTTGCCTTGCAGGCCTGGGTTTATACCACACACAGGACAGTACCTCGTCTTCTGCCGCTGTCTACTGCACTGCACAGTTACTACACAGCTTTAACCACGTAGCAGAGTCACAGTAATACTAAATATGATCGGGGTTAAACTCCTCAGCAGGATTTAAAGTCTACTAAGAAGTAAAACATGCAGTGGTGGAAAATACATGTACTCAAATACTATTTAAGCACAACTTTCATGTACTTGTACTTGACTTGAGTATTGTCTTTCTGTGCTACTTTGCTCCACTACATTATTTGACAGATGAAGTTACGTTGCAAACTAAGATGTTTTCAGGCAAAAACACATATAAAATATAAAGTGTTCTAAATTAAAGAAGGGGACCTGAAACCATTGTTTAGTTAACTGAGTCATCTCTGGCAGCTGTTGAGATTTTCATGCAAAAGTGTGGAAAGTATTTCACTGTTCTGTCTCTGTTTTGTTGTATTATTTTGAATTGTAATAGTTTTCAGGTTTGAACTGTTAAACTGTTGTTTGCATGAAACAAAGCATTAAATACTGCTATTCACTTTTCTTTTTGGTTCTTTTACTCTTAGTACATTATCCTGATTATACTTCACATACTTAAGGAGCATTTAAAATGTAGGACTTTGACTTACTTGCAGTAAAAAGTACAAGTGTGGTACTTTTACTTAAGTAAATGATCTGAATACATGCCCTACCATTGCTGAAATGTAGAGGAAGAAATGTAGAAAGTCATACAGTACATTCTGCACAATGAGTACTTTGACTTTTGTGTTTACAAAGGTTTTTGTACTTTGATTAACACTTTGAATTCAGGACTGATCACAGTAAAGTGACTGAAGTAGAAACTTTAGAGTAAACCTGAAAAAAGCTGTGCAAAAGCATGAATATTTGCAGGAAAAACAAAATAACACCACGCCCCTTTCAGCGCCACCGACCAATCAGCAGCCAGGCGGTGGAGAAAGGACAGCGTTTGATTGGAGGATCGAGCAGCCAGGCCGGGTTTCAAGGCGCCCACTGCTAATATCGGGAGGCGCCTTGAAACCGGTTCCTGCAGACCGAGCTGAGGGAGAAAAAGCCCTCTGAGCGGCAGAGAGGTCCGCATTAACCAAAGTTTTACCAACAAAGAAACTTTTCTCCCGCATCTCTGGGGATTTTTACTGAGGATAAAGTCCCGAGGAGTCGGTTCGAGACGTGGACACTTCACCTGCGGCGCAGCCAGACCACGGGTCCGTGCCCACTCGGTTTGAACGAGCTGAATTAAAATCGGAGGACGTGAGTTTTCAATTAATCAGTGCTTTTAGTGTTTATCAGTGAAATAGGAATAATTTAAGTCACCGTATCCGGACTGAGACTGGACTGAATTATGAATAAATCATCAGTGTGTCCTAGAGTTGTGGATTAATAAAGGAATGTGGCATTAAAGAGCTCCAGACATAGAAATTAACCAGCGGTGCCCGAAGCGGCAGGACGTCTCCTGTGTTTCATAGTGTGTTGCTGAACTCCTCCACCTCTTTAAAGCATCTGTTGCTTTGTGGAAACTCCTTTCCCGGTTCTGCTGTCATCCATCATGGCTGTGTGGAGGGGCTGGCGGTGCGTTTGGACAACGGCCTGCGCGCTGGTCTCTGCGCTCCTCTTCCAGCCCTGCACCGGTCAGTATGACAAGGGGATTTCCATCCCGGAGCACGGCTTCTGTCAGCCCATCTCCATCCCCCTGTGCACAGACATCGCCTACAACCAGACCATCATGCCCAACCTGCTGGGACACACCAACCAGGAGGATGCTGGGCTGGAGGTCCACCAGTTCTACCCGCTGGTTAAAGTCCAGTGCTCCGTGGACCTCAAGTTCTTCCTGTGCTCCATGTATGCTCCTGTGTGCACAGTTCTGGAGCAGGCCATCCCACCCTGCAGGTCGCTGTGTGAGCGGGCCCGGCAGGGCTGCGAGGCGCTTATGAATAAGTTTGGCTTCCAGTGGCCGGAGAGGCTGCGCTGCGAGAATTTCCCGGTCCACGGTGCAGGAGAGATCTGTGTGGGTCAGAACACCAGCGACACCGAAGGCCCCACGTCACACCCGACCCCCAACCTCCCTGACCTCGTCACCCTGCCCCCGTACATCCGGACCAACCAGCCCTTCTCCTGCCCCCTGCAGCTCCAGGTGCCCGCCTACCTCAGCTACCAGTTCCTGGGGGTGAAGGACTGCGGCGCCCCCTGTGAGGCCTCCAAACCCAGTGGCCTGATGTATTTCCATGAGGAGGAGCTGAAGTTTGGCCGGCTCTGGGTTGGGGTCTGCTCTATCCTGTGCTGCGTGAGCACCCTCTTTACCGTCCTCACATACCTGGTGGACATGAGGCGGTTTCGATACCCGGAGAGACCGATCATCTTCCTGTCCGGGTGCTACTTCATGGTGGCGGTGGCCTACACCACCGGCTTCCTGCTGGATGACAAAGTCGCATGTGTCGACAAGTTCAAGGAGGACGGCTACAGGATGGTGGCGCAGGGCACCAAGAAAGAAGGCTGCACCATCCTGTTCATGATCCTCTACTTCTTCGGCATGGCCAGCTCCATCTGGTGGGTGATCCTGTCCTTCACCTGGTTCCTGTCTGCCGGGATGAAATGGGGTCACGAGGCCATAGAGGCCAACTCACAGTACTTCCACTTGGCAGCCTGGGCAGTGCCGGCGGTGAAGACCATCACCATCCTGGCTATGGGGCAGGTGGATGGCGACCTGCTCACCGGCGTCTGCTATGTGGGCATCTACAGCGTGGACGCCCTGCGGGGCTTTGTCCTGGCACCGCTCCTTGTCTACCTCTTCGTCGGCACTTCCTTCCTGCTGGCAGGCTTTGTATCACTCTTCCGAATCCGCACCATCATGAAGCACGACGGCACCAAGACAGAGAAGCTGGAGAAGCTGATGGTCCGGATAGGCGTGTTCAGCGTGCTGTACACGGTGCCCGCCACCATCGTCATCGCCTGCTACTTTTACGAGCAGGCCTTCCGGCCCCAGTGGGAAAGGACGTGGCACATGCAGACCTGCAAGCGCTTTGCCGTGCCGTGTCCGGCCGGAAACTTTGCCCCTATGACTCCAGACTTCACCGTGTTCATAATCAAGTACCTGATGACCATGATAGTGGGGATCACATCTGGATTCTGGATCTGGTCTGGGAAGACGCTGCAGTCGTGGCGCAGGTTTTATAAAAGACTGAACAGCAACAGCCAGGGAGAGACAACGGTGTAGAGCCAGTGGAGGACGCTGAACTCCTGGAAGTCAGACCTGATTGAAGTCTTTGTGACTGGACCTTGTGTGCAGAGGAACCGTCACAGTGAAGGACTCGGAACACTTGTTGTATGATTGTAGAGATGACTTCTGCAGTCACAGTGACGCTGCCCAATCGGTGCCCTGGAGGATTCCTGCAGAACAGCAGCGTAATGTGACCCTAAGTCCAGTTTCCATTATTCTGTGAATTGTTTCCTCATGTAGCCAATGTTGTCTTTAAATTGTGAGAAGCCAGTGCAAACCAGCTGTGACACTTTACTGCCAGATGTGCTCAGAGCTGATGTCTCTAACAGTGGAAAAGCCAAAGATGTTACATGTTCATGTTTTTCTCTCATTAGTTTCTTCAGTGCATTTAAGTGAAGTGAGACTTCAGCCAAACATGCAGGTTAAAGATGTTTGCAACATTGGCAGGTTCGACTGAGTCGGTTTGTAGCGTAGACACAGTGCAGCAGTTCCCAGTAACAGTGTGTTGTAATGACCATGGGAGGGCAGACAGGTGTGAGGTGACAGAACAGCTGTGAGCAGGACTTGTAAAAACAACAGGAAGTTTGTTGATGTTGTTTATCACACAAATGGCTGATGGAGGTTGTTAAGGAGGTGGGGGGGAACAGTCCTGACCCAGTGACATGTGAACACACACATGAAAGACACGTGTTTAGATTCAGTGCAACTTCATTATCTCTGTAGATCTGCTTAGAAATCAGAGAACACTGTATTTCATTAGATCTGCCAAAGCATTATGGGAACTGCAGTGCTAACACTTAGAGTACAAATATTCCAAAATATATTGTTTGTGTGTGTGTGTGTGTGTCGCTGCTACAAGATACACAAGTGTGACGGATTTGTTCACGTGTTTGTGTTTTTACAAATTACTATTGGTCGTCAGATTTAACAGAACTCTCCCAGATCAAATTTATTAATAAACTTCATTTATACCCACTTAAATAAAATCTAAGGAAGTACTAAACACTGTACAGTTCAGCAGAAATAATGACTCTGTATTACAGCCACAACAACGCCACCTTGTCACCATCGGCCTCAAACTACACGACATTTTTCTTTCCTTGAATTTTTATAGTAAAACAGTCACAGACCTGTTAAATAAGATGCAGCTGAAATGTTCTGTGTGTTTGCTTTTCTGTCTTCTGCACGTCTTTGTTCAAGAATGTGTTTATCATCGTTTTGCAGTTTGGAGTGGCAAGACTTGTGCAGCACTGCCCCATGTACCACTCGCCTGTAAACACACTGTCAGAGGAGCTGGTGTATTTATGGGACTTTACAGTCAATGGTTTTGTCTTTGCTGTTACTTGTACAGTTTTTCAGAATAAACCTTTGCAGTCGATAATGAGTCAGGGTGTCAGGAGGTGGTTTATATGAGTGGCTGCAGTAAATCATCACATCTGTTCTGGCAGCTCGCCACTATGGTCTATCATGAAGAGTGTGGCTTTGTTCCAGGGGCTGATCCTTCTCTCCTGCAAAAAAGTTTTGTTTTTGTCCAGGCTGCAGATGCTGTTGAAACCTTTGCTGTGCCTCCGAGAGTGAAACCAGAGCACTGTGACCTCCTTACTGGGGCTGTTGGGGAAGTACAGAGCACACAGTCAGTGTTGTTCACTTTCTTTCAGAAACAGAAAAGCTTCTGTCATGTTTGGAGGGGCTTCTCATTCTGCAGCAGAGCTGCTCACATTCATGTTCACTTCAGTCACAGTATATCCAGTATCTAAATCATAGGCCTGACATCCACTTCCTGAGGCTCTCATGGCTCTGATGTCCCTCCTGAACAAACCTCCTTAAATCCACTTATTAATCACAGGAGAAGAGGCTGCAGAACCTGACTGAGAATCCTCCTCTGTCTTAAGTTTCCTTCAGGGTCACAGTGATCCAGTGACAATCGTCTGGATGTCCACATAGGTGCTGCCTACTGCTCATTCAGCTGCTGGTAGTGGGCATACATGCAAACAGATGGAGCACACTAGTGATGTACAGCTGTATTAGGACTAATATCTCCTGTAAATATGAATCATTACTTTTCATTGGCGGCGATGTGGCGCCCTCTGGTGGCGATGAGAAGCTGCACATCAGTTTAATCAAGACATGTTAAGTACTCGGTTCTTTTACTGCAGTAACAGTAAAAGTCCTGCATTCAAAACATTGCTTAAATAAAAGTACAAAAGTATTGCCATCAAAATCTACTTGAAGTACCAGCAATACCAGTACTCATCCTGCAGAACGGTCCATGCTACATTAATGTCTCTGATACTGGATCATAGTGACTGATACATTACTGTTCATCACTTTAATGCTGCAGCTGGTAAAGGTGGAGCTGATGTTAACTACCTTTATATACTTATACTGTGAAGTACTTTACATCCTGCTGAGTAGCTGGTGGATTTCCCACAGGGATCAATAGAATCTGATGATTCTACTGTGTTTGGTTTGATTCATCTGATTCTGAAAAGGAACTAAAGTTATCAGATCCATATAGTGCAGTAAAAAGCACACGGTTTGTCTCTGACATGGAGTGGAATCACATGAAGTAGCAGAGCAATTCCCAGGTAAAGTACAGGTACCTCACAGTTGTACTGGAGTACATTGTTCACTTCCCTCCTCTGACCACTGGAGGGCGCTGATCGCTCACCTATTTCTGCTCCTTCTCACTTTAACCCAGATCAGCTCCAATGTTCCTGATCACGTTATTGATCTGATGAGTGTTTGCCGCCCTCAGGTGGTCACACTGAGGACCCGCAGCACTTTCCACAACACAGAGAGGTGACGTGAACTATCAGAGCAGTGGATATACCTGCAGATATAACCTGGAGTGATGCACCTGAACGGACACACCTGCTGTTTGTCAGCTGCTCCCCTTCCTCCTGCTCTGGATTTCTCCTCTGCTCTTTTCTGGAGCCACTTTCTTCTGGTTGTTGAAGTATCAGTGGATGTTTTCTGACACGCACACATCTGATCTGCTGAATGACTTCCTGTCCTCTGCTGCTGTAAACTGGCTTGTTTGTCCCTGACTGTTAGAATACTGGGAGCTCTGGTCCCCACTTTGCTTCTCAGTGACACAGACACACACACTGAGGCCAACGCCGACAACTGTTATTCATCAGTCAAGTGTCAGAAAATGATGAGAGAGTCCAGTGAGACGTCTTCACACAACCTTTGATCAAACGGTTTCAGTTAGTGCATGTTTACCTGTTGGCTTCAGCTGCAGTGGCAATTCAGACTGATGGTGAAGTCTGCCACATCCTGTAAGTGCAAACACATGTAACTTCTTTATTTTCTGTCTGATTTTTCAGTCTTTCTAGCCTCCAGCACATTGCTCTGTGCAGCGATAGAGGCTAGTGGAGCAAACGGGCTGAGACCAGCGACTGTGACTCCAGACACTAACCGTGATGGCTGTTCTCGGCCTCGGCAGACAAGCCTCACATTTCTCCCAGTGCAGCAGTGTGTGGCTCACTGGTGTGTCTGGTCTCTGCCTCGTCCTGAGCATTCACCTGTAGTGAGAGGGGTCGGCTGCTCACCTGCATTGGCTCATTTACTTCGCTGTGTTTGGGACGGCGTTGACAATAAGAGCCTGATCACTTCTCGTCCTGAGCATTCACCTGTAGTGAGAGCGTTGACAATAAGAGTCTGATCACTTCATTGTCCGTGTGGTGACTCCGTGTTCAGTTTAAGATCATGTGAGATTAACACATGATGTCTTGTGCGTTGTATGTTGTTATGGGCTGTGGATAGATGCACAGTGTTACCTCTAACTGCAAACACTGGTACTGTTCATAACACACAACTGCTCTTGTTGCAGTGACTGTCAGTGATTCAGGTCACACTGACAGGAACAGTCAGTAAACCTGTAATAAGTCACAATAATGACAGACAATTTGTGGCTGACTGTTGCTGTTGTGCACAGATATTATATAAAAACACGATGTAGACAGCGTAGCACTGCAGTAAACTACTGACTGGACTTTCCTGTTGTTAAATCAACACTTTAGTGTAGCGCTCTGGCTGATTTGCAAGCTGCTGAGTTGCCGAGATAAAAACCATTACTGAGGATTTTTGACTTGCTTCTGTTTTCACTGGCTGTTGATCTTAGATGGAGACACTCCCCTGTAGATAAACGCTGATTTCCAGCCTTAATTCTTTCCTTCCTTGTGTAACACAACAACACACTGTGTGAACACTGTCTGCAGGGTTCCAGCTGTGGTTGGTGTGATTCATACTGGAGCTGATGGAGATTAACCTCCACTGCTCAGGAACCAGAGTCTGGTTTGAAAACAAAGGAAATAAACACTCAACACAAATCTGTAGATGTGTGTATTGATGATTGTTGCCCTGAACTCTGACTGTCAGGCTCACACTGCTAGGTGTGTACTGTACCAGATCTCAGTCCACACATCTGGCTACAGGCCTTCAGGCTGAGACACAGTTCCCCAACTCTCCACACACATTTGTAAATAACATTGTTGCAGTCATGTCCCATGACAGATGCCTGTGCGTGAGAAACGAGCCGGTCCGACATTGTGCTCACAGCAGCACGTCTGCAGCGGCCCTGACCACCGGTGTCCTCCTCCTGTGTCAGCTGAGAGGGTCTGAGAAACACATCAGGGATTTCCAAGGACACATGGAGAGCAGTCATTCCCGCCATCAGACAGTCACTAGCTGTTGTGAGTCAGGATGCTCCGGCTCTGGTCCGTCCTTGTTGGCAGAGTGGGCTTCATGGCTTTATGATAAGAGCCGCTGTGAAACAATGTGAGGGTGAGGAGGCCCACTTCCTCTGGGACCACATGACGTACCTCTCTCTACTCGCCCCCCAGACCAGGTCTTTTCAGATCACGGTCTATTGTCCCAAAACGGAAGAGGGCAATTAAAGGGAAGGCGGTGAGCTGCGCTTTCATGTTTGACCCTGTGTTGTGAGTGTGAGGACCCAGGCCTGCAGCATGCTGTCAGGCCTCTGACTCTGGATGGGGCTTATTTACAGCACGAACACAAGGTCACCTTTCCAGTTAACACAGTGGCCACATGATGTTTCTTAGTACACTTGCCAGGTCGTATACCGTCCACTGATGAGGATTTCCTTTTCACTGTTCTACTCACACCCTCTCCATAAAACTTGTAATGAGAAGGAAAAGAGGGCAGATATTTACAGCTGTCAGACCCAGGATGGAAGATGAGCTGCTGCCTCATCACGTTCAGGGGACAAAACTGTGATCAGCAGCGTTCCACTGTAAATTCTTCCAACCTGATCATCTAGTTAGATCAGAAACATTTTGGCAAAAGGAAAAAATTCAACAACTGTCACAATAATTATACGAATCTGAACAGGTCACATGACGCGGTTGCCATAGTGGACTGATGTGGATCCAGCCGCTGATAGTCGGGTGATAATGAACGTATTGTTGGAGCAGAACAACAGCCGCCGTCTCTCTGTGTACAGAGAAGCTGTAGTCAACCATTCAGACACTCCGAGAGGAAACTGACACAGCAGGACACATGGACCAGTGATGAAGATGAAGCTGCTGTTTCCTTCAGCTGCTAACCTTCCATCTAGTGGTGGGCATTACTGAAACTGACACTTTATATGTTACTGATCACATGTGAACTAGGCTGCCTGAGAACCCTCCTGTTTCTAAGTTCCCTTCAGTGTCACAGGGATCCAGTGGCGGCTGTGTGTATGTCCATTGCACACTGGAGCTGTTTGCTGCTCGTTCTGCTGCTGCTGATGGGGTCAACAAATACAGGACAAACACCCACTCTATGCTTTGATTATGCAGGATCTTTATTTACATGCTACTTGTCTTTACAGCCATCTGCTGGCAACACTCTGGATTCAGATCGTAATAATTCTGTACAAATCATTCTTCAGCATGTGATTGAACACGATGTGATTTTGAACCAAACACCAGCTGCTTCTCTCTCTCTCAACAGTCAAATACACAACATACATACACCTGTAGACACATTTGGGCTTTTCTGTCAGCCTGACCGCAGCTCCCTGATGTTAAGATACATTTATTTAACCTTTAAATTCAACTTTAATCATCTTTTATACCTGCTGAGTAAAAATGTTGATAATGGAGCATTTTTCATATCTGATCATCAATAAATCAGTGTTTTTCAGGTGGGGGAGCCTCAGGCTTACAGAAATGATCATGTGTTTCCAGAAAACACTACAGTGGGATTAAATCTGTTTCCAGCTCATAGAGACAGACGTGTGTCATGTATTCAGACATTCTGTGAGAACAGTTCTTGCACAAACAAACAGCAGCTTTTTTTGTTGCTTTGGCTCCAGGAAAAAAAATTCCTCACAATAAAACATCTGACTGATTGAAGCTGACAGGGTTTAAAATATGTATCATGTGCAATAAGATGTTGCATCACTGGAAATATTTTGGACGTCAGATTGAGCGCTGTGACCAGACCCACAAAACAAACGATACAAAAGCTTTAACATTTTCCACAGACGAGACTCGTCAGGCTGAATTCAGTGTTTCTAAAAAGAGGCTTTGACACAGAGTTTGTGTTTCTGCTGCTCCAGACAGAATAACACCAGAATAAAAACACATTTTCTCAGTGAAATGCTTAATGACAGTTTACAGTTTGTTCTCTCCACAGAAAAACCCTGAACCTGTTCAACAGACCATATGGACATGATTAAAGGAGTTTTATGGAGAACCGGGCCCTGGCAAGTAGGAGTCTCAGACATACTCAAATCTGGTCCTGAGAAAGGGGACTCCCGGCTGCAGCCACACCTGAGCCATGGGGACAGGTGTGTTAGAGTTCTGCTTCTGCAGACGCAGACAGGAAATCAGCAGCAGAGTTCCCGCCACCAGGTGAAGGAACCCCGATGTCCAGCCACAGAACAGGGCGTCCCCGAACTCCCAGCGTGGGACCATGTCCGGCAAAGTCTCATCGTAGAACCGATCCACCGTTTTGTAGGCCACGTAAGAGACGGGGATGAGCCCCAGTACCCCAGCCGCCATGCACAGGGTCCCTGCTGCCATTTTCAGGCCCCTCTTGCACCTGACGTTGTCCCGGCAGCTGTTGACCAGGTGCAGGCCGGGGATGGCCAGCAACAGTCCCAGCAGCCCCACTGCCACAGCCGTGCACATGAAGATCTGGGCCAGTTTGATGTCCGGTGACAGACCCAGCAGGCTGTTGTAGGGCCGGCACTCCAGAACCCCCATGTCCTGCACCACGCAGATCTCCCACAGCCCCATCTGATAGCTCTCGGTGGGCAGGAGCTCGGTGGACTGGGTGAGCCAAGTTCCCATCAGGGTGGTGGTCAGTGAGCCGAGCCAGGCCCCCGCTGAGAAGAATACCCCCAGCAGCTCCAGAACACATATAGTCAAGTTCATGACGGCGATGGTCCGAGTCTTAGGGCCCTGGGTCTCCTGTGTCTGCACTCTTTACTTCCCACCTCCCACACTGTCGGGGGCAGGGGGATGTCCTGTGAGCAGTGCCAGCTCTGCAGGAACTCAGAGGAAACCGCTCATTTGTTCAACACACATACAAGTCCAGCTAAGTGGGACCAGGTCTTTGCCAAGACCCTCCGCCCCTACCCCCCCTTCAGTGAGGGCAGGCAGTGATTGGCTGCTGGAAACAACAGCATCTCTCAGCGGCTGCAGACAGGATGTTGTGATGCCCTCATCTCTGTCTGAAAGGCATTTGAAGTTAATGGCATCATTGGCCCTGGCCCCTGGAGACCCCCACAGCATCACCAAGCAGGGCCAACACAAACAAACCGTTAACATGATGTCTCCCTGGGCCCGGTTCAGATTATTACTGTGAGAAAAACAGGAAACAAGTGGAAGGTGCAACGGGTTAAGACAGAACATCCAGACTGAGAGCTGCATCTCCAAGTAATTAAAAGAACAGAGTGAAAGTCACTGAGAAGTGAAGTCGGCAAATCATTTTAGAGGCTACAGAAAATATGTTGGAAAAGTGTTGTTGGTTCAAACAAAGATGACAACTCACACCAGGTTTCTGATCTGATGACAAAAAACCTTGTGTAGTGATTTGGCACAACAGAAATCTGTAATGTCCGACTAAACAATAAAAGTTCATTTAACAGTTTTTTTTTTTCAGGAATTTCTGTCTGAAAAACAAAAACAGGAAAAATGTTCAATGTCAAAGCCAAAACTGCAGGAAAGACAGTGACCTCTGGTTTACACCATGTCAGCACAGGTCAAGATGTGGTTAGTTTATGTGTTTGAATGTATCAGAGGAGAAATCCTGCCTGACTGCATTTTATAAATTCACCTTGTTCAAAGTGCAGTTTTGGAAGAAACATGAAAACAAAGATGGAAAGAAAGAAATTAGAAAGAAAAAGGGAAAAGACGTAACAGAACAAATGAGTCAAAGTGTAAATGACAAAAGAAAAGGAAAAAGAGAAAGCAATGCAAAGAAATGAAGTGCAATTAAATTAGCTTATTATAGGCAGACTTAACTCCATTTAAATATGTCGATTTACAGTCCCCGCCGTCAGTTGCATCTTTACGTAATGATCCGAGAATATTTTAAGGACGCCCACTTATCAATGAGGTATTATAGCGAGTTCGGCATATGGGTCTCCTGTTAAACATCACTGGATTTTTTCATAAAATTCTACTAATTAACAGTGGTTGTCTGTATGTTCTACATTGGTTCTGTTCAAACCTCCAGAGATTAAGAAACAACCTCACATTTTTGAACAGAGTTTGATGGCCTTTGTTGACCGTGACTACTTATTCTAATGCTTCACATTACCGTGTAACCCAGAATTATGTTCCTAACCTTATGTTTGGACTCCACACCAAACTCCATTTGAAAATCTCAGTAGTTTAAGATACCAAACACTGACCAGTCGTGTCTGTACAGAACTTTCTTCAAAAAAGTAGAATTCAGGTTTTATCGTTCACCTGCTGTTGTCTGATGTGATGGCGCCGCCTGGTGGACATGAACAGGAACCACGACAGAGTCGAGCACACAAACACATTAAACGAGTTTTCTGTGATGTATTAAGACTCGCGTGTTTTCGTTCTTGTTATTTAATATTTGTTTTTTCGCTTTGTACATGGTTTGTGATTCGACTCATTTGTCTGTTTTTGATCATCTCTCTCCTCTAGTTTTTCACACGCCGGTATAGTAGGAAGCAGAAGAAGAGAAACGACGTCACAGGCCTCAGACAACTGTCAATTACGTAATCAAACTGCGTCACACCACATGCTTAGATTCTAAATGACTAGATGTTGAGGTGACAGTGAGTTTCGATAATAGTTTAGGCCAGACTGATGACAAAATGTCTGTGTTTCACGATGAAATAGAGATTGAGGACTTTGAATATGACGAGGACACAGAAACGTATTATTTTCCCTGTCCCTGCGGAGACAAATTCGCCATTACTAAAGTAAGTTCAGTGGAAGCTAACGGCTAACCGGTAGCTGTCTTCTTCTGTGGTTAATTAGAAGTTTCGACTTCAGAGGACTATTAACCGAATTAAAATATAGTGCGAGTTAAACATTTGCGCTTCCGTTAGTCTAGGATACGTGTTTTTCATTCTTAAGAACAAATTTACAATGTTCTTACTCCGAACGACTTCACATCAAAATTCACTAAATTTGGGGTTAAACCTCTTCAACAGTATATTTACGTTATAAAAGAAATATTGTTTTATTTCTACTAACCACTGAGGTCTTCTGGTGAACTCGGTAGGGATTTAATGACCAGTTTAATTGAACCACGTAGTTTTTAAATGAAACTCGACATGATTTTGCCCGACTTGTCATTAGGGCTAGGATAAAATATTTCTACATTTTAAAAGGGGGTTCAGTTTGGTATTTAAACTAGATTATTTGCCCACTTTCTTTACACTCACGCACATGTGTATGATTCTCAGTCTCATATTCCTCAGTACGTAACTATCAATCATAACCCCATCACTAACCTCAAACCGAACTGTATGAAAAGTAGCCACTTAGTTTTTTCTTCGGCTAATCACCAAAACCTTTTCATGAATTTGGCTGGAATGAATTGATTATTTATTTTGATAAATAAAATCTCTTTCATTATGTTTTACTAGGTACAGTAAAAGTAGCCAGAGCACAATGTGAACAAGTCATATAATTTATTGTTTTTTAAATGGAGCGGAGCAGTTTGTTTTTATTACAGAAATCCATTCTGATTTATTAGTGATTATCATTTCTTGATTTTACATTAAGGGCTCTGATTGATCAGTTCTGGGCACAATAAGGACTTAATACCAAACTGTTGTCATTTTAAATTTCCATAGTGACCAGAAAATGTTTTCAAAACTTTCACTCTTCAACTTTATGGTGAACTTTGCATATAGAACATCCTGTTATCAGTTCATGTTTCATAACTGTTTAATATTTACTCGTGTTTCTATCTTGTTTTAGTTAGGCTGGAAGATAAGGACATAACTTGCTAAATTTTCAGTGGGGTTTAATTTTATATAAAAACATGTTTTAAACCCTCTTTTTCTTTGGGAGAGAAACAACTTTCCTTTCTCTTGTCACAGCAGCAGTGAACCGTTTGTAACTTAAGTGTGTGTTTGTGTTAAAGGAGGATCTGGAGAACGGGGAGGACGTGGCGACATGTCCGAGCTGCTCGCTCATTGTTAAAGTCATCTACGATAAGGTCTGTAACAGCATTCATCCCTGGTTAAAAGCAAATCTGGCCTCCGGTACAATGAGCAAAAGCTAATATGGGAGCATGGTTATAACATACAGATACAGAGATGTAGATACCGTCAGCGTACAGTTGGACAACAGTGAGACCATGTACAATCAACCAGAAGAGATGTTTAGCTATTGAGGAGCACTTCTCTCTCTCTCACTACTCCAATGTGTTATGGTCACTTTATTGTGATTATATATGTTTGTAACTTTAATTTATTCTTCTAATTATTGTGTCACTGTTTTCATATTTATGTGTTTGTGTGTCTGTCATGAACAGGTGAAGTGTAACTTGAGTTTATTTGTAATTTTCTTGTTGCTACTAAATAAATAATCATGGAAACACTAAGACTTGTGGAGTCTGGCACAAGTTTGAACTGTAAAATATGTTTTGTGTTTCAGGAGTTGTTCATGTCTGGCGAAATCATCGAAGCTCCTTTGGCTTCAGAATCCAAACTGGAGCTGGTTCGGTCCTGAACTACTGCCTCTGAAAACCACGGACTGGTCCTTTTTAAAAACACTTAATTTATGCACAGAGACACTTTGAACTGAACCTGAGTCTGAAGCAAGTTTCAGGGGATTTAAACTTCTCCTTCAGTGGTTTTAGCTCATTTACTACAGACTTCATTTCTTGTCATAAACCTTTGCACTTTTAGATTTCTAAAAGTTGTTACTCTGTTTTTGGTCTTAAATTAACGCTCAGTAAAATCTGAGATCTTCATCACATCATTGAAGCTTGATTTAAATTGTTTGGTTAATTGAGAAACTGGTGTGTTCGGTTGCAGACTCTTTACTGGCACTTTTTTAACTGAAGAAATGTGTTTTGTGTGGTGTTCGTTTGTGTTTGCTCTTTGTCTTCAGGGAGTTTGATCAAAATATTCATAAAAAGATGGACATATCTTCTCACTATGAATAATATCTAAAAATAAATAGATGAAAATAATAAAATACAAATGTGACAAATTATGAAAGGCTGATATTTATAAAATACTAAAATAGCAAATAGTATAAAACAAATTTAGTATAATACAAGTAATGAACAACAGCATAAACTAAAGGAGAAGAAGGTTTAAAAAAAAAAAAAAAAGCATTTAGAAGCCAGTATGGCATCACATTTGTCGGTGATGACGACACTGGCATTATTAATGTATGGTTTATAAGAAAATTAAGGGGAAAATCCCACTTACTACGGTATACCATGACTGGCAGTGTTGTCATATTTGGGCTTCCATAAAGAAGTTTCCTTCAGAGGTTTGTTCCAACTCTCACCTCAATGACCTTCACTGTTACCACACAAAGGTTGAAGTAACATTGCTGCAGTTTCTAGTAGATTTACATATTCATTCCCGATGCTGTTGAGCTGTGAGGATTTCTTTGGGGTTAATGTTCCTCTTTGGCCTGTTTCATAATCGGAGCACTTTGAATTGCCCACTGGGAAAAATAGTTTGACAGCCTTCCCAACAGAGCACAGCAGGACCTGCTCAGACTGTTCCACATGAAATGGATCACTGTATATTACAGCACATCACACCATGTATACCAGTGAAGCAAATCATAAAACCAGTACTGACATCTGTAAGGCCTCAGAAAAGATGTCAGTAACAACTGCTCCTTAATCTGCTGTTATTCATTTAATCCATCATCTTTAATGGTGTTTAACAACCTAATGATGGAAGGAATAAAAGAATATTCTCAAGTACTGCACATTAATATCACTGTGATTTTGTGTGATCACAGTGTGACTTGTGATTACAACTCAGCTTAAATTAGTTCTGACTAGTAAGAGTACAGCTGTGTACAAAAAGATCCTTAGAGATCGGTTCAGTTATGACTAGTAACAACTGCAGATATGTGACGTGGGTTTTTTTCCTAGAGGGGGTTCTGGTGCAGGTAACGCACCTGAAACTGAAAGTCCTACGGGATGAACCGAATTAGACCCGCAGCACATGCAGTCTGGCCATTAAACAGGAGGTGGAGCAGAAACATCGCGATGACGCGTCACGTCGCTATCGGAGTGCGTGATGACCTCACCGTCACCGCCAGGTGGCTGTCAGGTGTAGAAGCGACTCCTTTAGGTCCCGTAACAGGACGAGGAACGGGTCGACACGTCCCGCGACCTGGTGGAGCTTCGCGCCGAAAACCACAGCGTTTGTTTGTCTGTTGCTGAAGTGTCCTCGAGGTTTTCCGAAGTTTTGTTCGGTGAGTTAAAGGTCTTTAAAATGCTACAAATGGATCAAATGTTGATTTTTTTTTTTTCCTTCAGACGATTTTATTTTTGTCCTCTAGCAGTCAGCACATCACCTCCGTATTTTACACGGGTTGTCTTGGCAGTTCTGTGTTTAGTAACTTACTTTAAAATGTTACAGGTTAATTAGATTAACTTGCACCATTTGTCTGCCAGGATGCTGATTTTAAACATAAGAAATATCGTGTTACAGCCGAAAGATTCACGAATCAAATGGTGTCGCTCTATTAAAATATACTTTTATAGTTTGTAAGTATTTCTGATTCAATTAGACAACTCTCTTTTTCTCCATCAGTGAATGGTTAGTTCTATAAAGTGGAGTTTTCAGTGTTTCAGAATCAGAATAAGCTTTATTGGCCAGGTGTGTCGGACACACGAGGAATTTGACTCTGGTACATCAGTTATCAATGTGCATATACATATCCCCATGCAAGGGGCAAGAAAACAGTAAACCAACATAAGGCTAGTATGACAAAATAAGCAGGATTAACAGGCAGTTTTGTCCCACAGACCTACAGATATTCAGGAAACAAGAACATGTTTTGAATCTTTGATTGTTTGGCCTTAACTGATTCTGAAAACAGCTGTGAAATGAATTTCTGATCACAGCGGTTCTGTTTGTCATCATATACAGTATAATGTCAGGCCAGAGCATCTGTGTGCAGGACCTGATGGCGTCCAGCCCCCCTCTGCACTGATTTGTCTGTGGGCCTCACGTCTGTAATATCACTCTTTGTGTTCAGGGTCTCTGAGCTGATGTTGATGGAGCCGACTGAGCCGGAGGCATCATGGACACCAGGGGCCTCAGAGACCACCTGAGAGTCTCTGCAGGAAGGATGAAGTGGTGGAGGGAGGTGGAGCAGTGGAGAGGCAGGGGGCAGCACAGAAGACAGGAGGAGGAGGAGAATGAAGAGCTGGTGGAGGTGCTGCTCCAAGGCAAAGCACCCTGGGGCTTCACCCTGAGAGGAGGCAGCGAGCACCGAGAGCCGCTCATCATCACAAAGGTCACGGCACCAGCATGGAGACGAGCTCTTCACTGATTGTTTCACATTTCATTTTTTGTCTGTAATTGTCAGGCAGCACAGTGGTTAAAGCTGTCTCCTCACAGCAAGAGGTTCCAGGTTCGAGCCCAGCCCGACCTGGGTTATTTCTGTGTGGAGTCTGCATGGGTCTTCCCTGGGTACTCTGGCTTCCTCCCACAGTCCAAAGACATGTAGCTTAGGTGGACTGGCGACTCTAAATTGCCCGTAGGAGTGAGTGAGTGTGGGTTTGTGGTTGTCTGTCTACATGTCAGCCCTGTGACAGACTGGTGTCCTGTCCAGGGTGGACCCCGCCTCTCACCCAGTGTCAGCTAGGATTGGCTCCAGTCCCCCCGTGACCCTGTTTAGAAATAAACAGTATAGATGATGGATGGTAAGAAATAGCTGAAATTGCCCAGTTTGATTCACCAGGGTCCAAATCCTTAAGTGTAAAACCCAAAAAATCTGAGTTTGTTATAGCTTATGACAAAGAAAAGCATCAAACCCTCACACAGGAGAAGCTGGAGAATAATTAGCATGATTTTAAAACTGGATCATCACGATAGTTGCTACTTAATGTTCTGCTGACTGATGGCTTAACCGCGTGGTTTAGTTTAACATGTAAAACAGCGCCAGTGAAAACTCACAAATGATAATAGACTTGTTTTCAGCTGCATGTGCTTCATTTTAATTTAAATGTGAACTCTGTGATGAGGCAACGAGGTTCATTCTTTTCCTGACGTTTGTTTTGTAAAGTATCACAGTGCAGGGGAACTTTATCTTGAAAACGGGAGCACGTAGCAGTTATTCTCTGCAAAATGAGTATTCTGCAACAGCAGGCCCAGGGTGATCACCAGTGGTCGTTAATACCACAGCAGTGAAGCCATAGGACAAATCTTCTGACCCGGCCGAGACGCAGCGAGTGGAATATCAGATCCTGTTTGCAACATAAGCTGCGCTGAGACTTGAGCTGTGAGTTTGATCGTGATTAGACGTGGTGCAGAGTTTAAAGCCCGTCCATGTCGGACACATTCACCTAAACATGTTTCCTTCCAGTCTCCAGCTAAACTGGATGTGTGACATCATCCACTGAAGGTTAAATCTCTGACCTCAGTTCAGGCCGATCAGCGAGAGCAGCACGAGTCCAAGTAATACATTAGAAACCTGGAGTGTTTAGAGTCAGCTTTGAGTCCAGGTGTAAATGTGGTGCTTGTGAATGTGTAGATGGTAGAAGACACATGTAGCTTTACCCAGGTGGTGGCGATTAGGGTTGTACTGTAAACCCGGTGTGAACCATGACACATAGCAGGACTCCAGCAGCACCTCCGCCTGCTGTTAGTGTAGCTACATGGAGCAGCGACCGCCTCAGGTTGCAGGTGGAGTTAATTTTTAATCAGAGCACTCAGGTTACTGGCCCCCACAGGTGGAGGATGTCTGAGGTCAGACATCCAGCTTGGAAATGACAGAAAAAAAAAGAGTCTGTTTTTATTTCACTGCTTGTTTATTGCCTGGTTTAAATTTCCCACCTGTCACATCTGTGCACCTCTGGCTGTTACTGGCTCAAGAGACTTGGAATGTGTATCTGCCACCTGGCCATAGAAATATCTGTTGATATTCTCATGCCAGCATGTTTTTGACTAAACTGATCCGACAGCAGGAGACCTGACAGTTAATATGCAGCCCTGTACAAATGACCATAACCGATAAAACCCAGCAGGCTTCAAACCAAATCAACCCTCATCCTGGACTCTGTGGCTGTATGTGTTTGTTCAGGTGGAGGAGGGCAGCGTGGCAGCGGCCGTCCATCTGCAGGCCGGGGACGAGATGCTGAGCGTGAATGCCGTCCCCCTCAGCGGCTCCCATCAAGAGGCCATCGGCCTGGTGAAGAGCTCCCAGCAGACGCTGAGCCTGCTGGTCCGAAGGTACCACACCAGCACGCACACTTTGTGTAGAAAGATGATCAATTAGTACATCAGTCAGTCAGTGAAGAAAACAGTCAGCATAAACCAGGTGAGCAGCGTTTGATGGTTCAGCCACGGTGCATGTGGCTCCCAACACTAAACACTGGGTGGTGTCCACCGTGGAAACGTGCAGACTTCTTACAACGTGCAGTCAGAAGTGATGAAGCCTCTTGGATGAGAGGTGAAACGTCTTCGACCTAGAAATCTAGTCCAGTTGATTTTTTTCTAAGTTTTTTTCAGTTCTTCGAACATTAGCTCCACTGCAGGGCTATGACTAGTAACTCGTTACTTTCATTAGAGATTTAATGGGGTCAATCCACAGGAAGCGGCCATCACTGGTTTCCTCAGTGACTCCATCAAATGTTTTGACCACAGGTTTGTTTAAATCACATGAGACAGAGAAGCAGAAAGCAGAACCACTAGAGTAGTCCAGATTATATTTGTTTTGGTTTACTCATAAATGGATCAATTAAAACTTCAGTTTAAAATCTATATTCTGCACCAAGTGAATAACGAAGCCTGAGGGAAGCAGCGCCACCTTGTGGAGGCTTGATTCATTGTTTGCTTGACCAGATGTTCTTAGATGATGTCAAAATGAACGAAGAAAATTAGATTGTGAGAATTTTTTAGCTAAATGATAGATGTGCATCAGGGTTATAATGAAATGATAAACTCGGGCAAAAAAAACTTCACAAAGC